AGAAAATTAGAAACAATCTAGAATATATTCCCGTTATCAATATATTAAGCCCACATTCAATCAGTAGGCCATAATACTATTATCTGCGAAACCTATAATTGCCCCTACACATCCTGAGCTTTGGTAGACACTTATACTTCATCGAGAGATGATGACTAAATAATGATAATGATTGATAAATAGGAGGTGGTGGCCGGATGCCTTCTGTCGCCTGAATATATGCGGCCTTAATGTGCTTCGCGTCGCTCTTTACCTCGGCGAGACTGTGCCAGTCACTGGAGCGAGCGACATTCACACCTTCTGCTTCGCCTGTGGAATGTTGCTTTCGCCCAACACACACTGCAGGCTGGCAGCCATTTTACATCTGTCTCCTGCATTGCTAATGCGCGACGCCGCCAGCCGTAATGTCAGCCTTCAGCATCCGCGATTGCAGATCGACGCCGTGAGCGCCACCTGCGGCGGCGACAAAAGGGGCCCAGAGTCAAGAGCCGCATGCTGCGCTACCTGTGTAGTAGAGACTCGCTGTTCAACGTAGCTGATCTGATCGGCCTTGCATTGTCCGTTTACCGCGGCCGTCAGACGCCGATGTCAGCCGAGCATCCTGGTGGCAGCTTTCCGACCAGCCGGCCGCGTCGGCGGCACTGCTGCCGGCGCTCTCCACGGGATCTAGGCCCGAGCGCACGTTAGCCCACCAATGACGGAGTGTACACTTCTTTCTTTATGCATGTGAGTGCGGCGCTTTCCTGCCGATAGCACGGTGTTAGACGACATGCAGGAACCACTGCGTACCCTTTGTGCCACCTATAGCTTATAAAGCCTGTAAAAAAATTTAAAAAAATTAACAAATGTCCAGCAGGCCAGAATTAAAAAGCATTACTAGGTGCTTATCGACCCCCCACTAGTCCTTCCTCGGGCGGAGATAGACTGTGCCCAAAATTAAAATATAAACGCCCTATATTATGCAGTGCATAATTATACCAATTTGATATGCATGGCCTCGCGTTGCCTTGGCACGCACGCACGCGCACCACGCACGCACACACACATCATGCACACCACACACACACACACACACACACACACACACACACACAAACACAACACACACACACACACACACACACACACACACACACGCACACACACACAGACGCACACACACGCCACCACACGACACACACACAACACACACGACACACACATCACACACACACACACACCACACACACACACACACACGTGCACGCACACACCACACACACACACACACATACACACAACACACACACACAACACACACACACACACACACACACACACACATACGGCGTATACACACGCCGCACGCCTGGCCCGCACGCGACAGCACACAACACCGCCTGCCGCGCACACGACGCGCACACACCACAACCCGGGACGTACACATCGAACCACACACACACACACACACACACCACACACACACACACACACACACACACACACTCAGCACACGATAATCTTTATGGCACTCTCTAATATTTACTTGCGAACAGCTGGATCAGTACGCAGACTGAAACTGTTCTTAGCTGCCTCTGAAGGTTGCGATGGGCCTGTCTACGACCACACCAGCACCGCCGCTTACGTCATTCTCCGTCGCTGTCATGGGACCGTCGCGCTCCCTGAGTCATGAGCAGCACGCATTGAATGCTGTGCCCTTGAACTCGGTCGTGAACTCGCTATCGGCGTGCTTCCTCGATCCCTAGGAGCTATGAACGCGCGTATTGTCATAATTTGGGCATCACTAGCCAATTCAGTTCAAGCCCAGTATATTACAATAACCCTACATTTACAACCTCAACCCATATTACACAACCACCCATTACAACTTCACATATATACCACATATAGCCCTAACCCATTGGGATTTCGGACCTACATCATACAAGCAATAATATATATATACTATATATAGTTATCGGTATATATATATATATATACATATATTGTATGTGTGTGTGTGGGCGTGCCGCTGCGTGCCGTGCGTGCGTGGCCATGGTGTCGTCGTGCGGTTGCAAGTTGCGTAGCCTGTGCGGATGTGTAGAATGCTTTGTACGCGCAGGGCGCGCATTTATTCTAAACAGTTGGTATTCATCAAAGCCACTGCGTGCCTGCGTGTGCGTGTCTAGGAGAGTCAGTGTTCAGAAACAGTTGTGCCTCGACCTTCGTGTGTGTGCTCGCCGGAGACATGGACGCAATGTGTGTGCGTGGAGGCAGTAGCGTGCGTCGTCGCCTGCCGGCTATTCGAGTCGCGTGCGTGCGTGCGTGCCTGCGTGGTGTCGCAGTGCGTCAGGGTCGCGCTGCCGTGAACAAATCCAGGCGAAATTTGATTGTTAGGCTGAGTCATCGCGCCCAAAATGTCCACTACTCGACGAGTATCTTGCAGCCTGCGTGCTGCAGGCCGACGGTCGAGAGATTGAGAACTCGACAGAGACAAACGTCCACCCTGAGCTCGCCTGCGAACGGTTCCGTCTATAATAAAAAAAGCAAAGGCGGCGCCGTTAAGCCAAGCCACCTAACGTCGGGGCGCAGAAGCCAAACAAACTCCTTCTAGCGACGGACGCAAACGCCCATGACGAGCTTGAATTGCCAACCTCTGAGAGCCGAGAGTGGTCAAAGCGCTTCAACTCCCCGAACCCTTCGCCATAAATCTCGTCGCCTCGCGCCATCACCGAGACAATTTATGTCGTACGTTAGGCCGAGTCACGTGGAATTGACTTAGGCCAGGCGTGTGGCAGGATGCATGTAATGGGCCAAGGTATGGGGGGAAGAGCCCACGGGCGCTCCTCCGCCTACACGCGCACACGCGCGCCACACGCAAACACACACACAACACTCTTTTCATACACACTATCTCTCTCTCTTACACACACTGCGCGGTGGCCGCGCGCACCGCACGCACACGCATGCAAACACACATACACTACTATTACCAAGCTACACGCTCCCTTACTTCTTAACATTTACAACTTAGACACACACACACACCATCTATTCACACCACACACACACACACACCACGCACACACACACACACACAGGCTACTAACTACCACACGGACTGGACACACACACGTTTCAAAATTAACTTTCGAAAAACTTCCACCATAACACACACGCACGACACGACCCCACGCTAGCGCGCGTTTTGACATAGCTAGTCACTTAGATAGATAGGAATAGCATAGATAGATAGATAAAGGAATCACCGATATGGATAGATATGTCAATATCATAGAATTAGAGAGGGCATGGTAAATAGAGAGCGACTAGCAGAGATAAAGAGAAGAGCATACGATAGGATTAGAACGTAGCATAGATATAGATAGATAGATAGATAGCATAGATAGCATAGATAGATTAGACGTAAAGATAGGTATTTCAGATAGATCACGCATAGATAGGATGATAGGATAGGATAGCATAGATAGGAATTTAGAATATGGTGAGATAGAATAGGTATTTAGATAGATAGCATACGAGTAGATAGCATAGATAGAGTAGATAGATAGATGGGTGATAGATTGAGATCCAGACCTTTATGGATAGTTTCCACCGATTGGACCTAGTTATAAGGAACTAGGTAAATGCGTTAATGAATGGACCCTAGTGGAGACGGATAAAACTCACGACGATAGACGGTATAGAACGGGATTGAGCGGCGGAATAGACGGAATAGTCCCACGCGACTAGACGGAGGTAGACCCAGATAGACAGAGTAGCACCAGATAGACAGATAGTAGGCGAGCATACCGTAGATAGAATATGATGTATATACGAGGTCATTAATTAGATAGATAGATAGATAGATAGATAGCAATAGATAGAATTTAGATGATATTAGATAGATAATAGATAGCATAGATAGATTAGCATAGATAGATAGATAAGATACATAGATTTGATAAATAGCGATAGATAGCTAGATAGTATAGGGGGATAGACAGATAGATAGCCATGGCATTAAATAGCCGACAGATAGATTAGCATAGATACATAGATAGCATAGATACGATAGATAGAGTAGATAGATAGATAGATAGCATAGATAGATAGATAGCCATTAGATAGATAGATAGATAGCATAGATAGCCCAGATAGCACAGCATAGACAGACGGCATAGCTGGCATAGCATAAATAGGTAGCATGGCGGCATACACACAACACATTACACACAGCTTCATTTATTTATATAGTTTTATTTATATCTGCCAAATAGAAGCTAGCGATACTCTCGTAACCTCTTAAATAATAGTCTTCAAAGTCCAATTAAGGGACTATATATATATCGAAGACGCAGAGCTAGACAAGTTGATGACCGTTGATCAAATTAACATATCTGCGGATAACGGTAAAAAGCTTCAAATGTGCAATTTACTAAAGAGGAAGGGAGAGAATTCCAATAAGGAATAACAGAAACAATGAAGCTAAACTCAAAGGGATCCTTAGAAGATGGCAATGTAATATCGAAAGAAATAATTATCACGCTCAATGTTATCGAGTGCAACGAACAGGCTTCATCAATCACTATTATTATACTTGAGCATGTACACCAGAGAAACAATACGCCAACATCAATTTTGTATCTTGTTTTGTGTATCTGTAGAAAGTGAAATATGTTTAGATATTTTAAATATATCGGCTAAATTTGCTAAAATGTGCCAAAATGTGGATGGCACATATTTCAAAACATTGCAACACATTTCGACACGTTTCTGAATTTAGAGGTTCGGAGAAAGACACTAGACTGGTCCGCGCTCGACAGTTCCACTCGCGTTACATTGACGTCAGTGTAACGCGAGTGGAACTGTCGAGCGTTGACCAGTCTACAGGGACACGTGCAGGTCATTTCCATGGCAACATGTCAGCATCGTACTTACAAACTATAAAGTGAAAAACAGTATAACTAGTAATGTGACAATAACTCTGTTTATAGATACTAAGATAGCGTGATTATGCTTCGGTAAATAGTTAAACATGGATATAATCATATATTATTCAGTTGGTATGTTGTTAGAATCGAATGTCTAGAATGAACATGGGAACATGGGTCTGACTCTATGGATGGGTAGGGCGGTAGGCTAGTAGTAGTAATATTGTTGTGTACCGGTACTGCTACTGTATAGCCCGCGTACAGTTGCCTGCGCCCAAACCCAACGCGCTTAGAACTAGAACTTAGAAGTACCCACTCAGCCACTGCACCACTATAGCCACTAATTGGCTCATACTCAGTCATAGGGTCTATGTCCCCCAGGGTACTGCCGGAACGTACCCTGGAGTGGGTACGGTCCGGTATACCGGAACGTACCGTGGTCACTATTTGATATGGTTAGGGTTAGGATTAGAGTTAGGGTTAGGATTAGGGATAGGGTTAGGCTTAGGGTTAGGGAGTAGGCGACTCCCTAGACTCGTTAGTGGAGTAGGCGAGGTACGGTTCGGCATATTAGATAGTACCAGGGTACGTTCCGGCAGTAGCCCGGGGGACATAGACCCTCTCAGCGCCACGAAGCCACCATTAAGTTACCTTCTCACTTCTAGTACTACGTGGCAAGAAGGGAAACGAGATCCGAGATCGTCCTACGTTGTGAAACAGCCGTAGAGCCTGATCGGGCTACACTACAGTTGCCTATTGGTGCTAGTAGTAGGCCCCCTAGCGCTCAAGGGGTCGTTGTTTTATCAGGTACTACAGTCCAGATATGTACCCGAGGTACATTTATCAGGAGCGTATAATGACAAAGGAGTAAGACAACGATTTGGTACTGATTTCACTACTTTTTGTCGTACGAGTTCGATGTGAATAAAAATAGAAATGTATACAAACATGAGCTTCTTTTGTTCACTGGTCCTTATTCTATCTTCCGGTAGTATTACAAACCGCGTAGCTTCCTTCGTTTTGACATAATTCGTACTTTTCGACGACATGGTTTTCACGTTAGTTACCGTATTCTGGCGAGGGCACACTCTAAATTTGCACACACAGCTCTTCAATGAGCCACGGCAGGGATCGCGTCAGGCAGCGCCAGCGGCAACTGTACGCGGGCTAGAGATAACGGTTGCTATGCAATTAATGCAAAACACATGTGCGAAAAGCTACAATCGGCTGGAGCGTCAGTTTACTCATAACGATTCATACACATCATTCCTCCGCGGGTGAAGTAGTTCAGATATTTTACCAGCGCAGCGTTTATTTAAAAAAAAACTGCGGGATTAAACGATAAAAACAAGGCATTCTAACTATAGTTTAAATGTAAAATAGTTTTAATTTTTAAACCCAGCATGGGTGCAACGTAACTTAATTTCTAGGCGAATTTTCTGCACTCGACTAGGCTACGGCCGAAAAGCCCTACCGTGGCTCATTGAAGAGCTGTGTGTGCAAATTTAGAGTGTGGCCTCGCCAGAATACGGTAACTAACGTGAAAACCATGTCGTCGAAAAGTACGAATTATGTCAAAACGAAGGAAGCTACGCGGTTTGTAATACTACCGGAAGATAGAATAAGGACCAGTAAACAAAATAAGCTCATGTTTGTATACATTTCTATTTTGATTCACATCGAACTCGTACGACAAAAAGTAGTGAAATCAGTACCAAATCGTTGTCTTACTCCTTTGTCATTATACGCTCCTGATATATGTATACACAAAGTGTACCAGACTTGTACTACAAAGTTAGATACAATAATATGTAACTCAAACACAGGATAGGGTGGGTTATAGTTAATTATTTTAATACAGTTAATATAGTATATAACAGATTATATTAGTTTAATACAGAGTATTGTGATACATAGTAAGTTCCAGGATAGCGGAGAAAGGTTCGTGTTGAGAATAAACCCAGTTTGGAAGTTCTAGTCTCTGAAAACGCACCAGCAAACTGCCCTGAGTGATTCACTCAGGGGTTCCTCCACACAAAAGGAAACACTCGCGTTGTAACTCTATCCTGTGTTTGGGTTACATTATTGTATCTATACAGAAGTGTACCTTAACCCTAACACTAACCTTAACCCTAACACTAACCTTAACCCTAACCCTAACCCTAAACATACCTCATATAAAAATATAAACAATACTAAACGACCTAAAACTACCTCAGGTACATCTGTACGTAGTACCTGATACGACAACGACCCCATCTGCAGTAGTAGCATACATATACTATTTGTGCTCAATAACATATTTATTAAGGAATAAAGAAAGTGTTAATTAAACATGCCACCCAAAAAGAAGGGAGGAAAGAAGGGAAAGTCGGCAGACAGAGACACCACCCCTGGCACGGCCACTGAAACGGCTTCGCCAGATGTACTTAGTGAGTTGGACAAAGAATTCTATCTAATACAAATAAGGGATTTGGAGGCTAGAATTAACAGGTACAGTGTTTTATACAATATTACAGTATGATAGTGTATCACTATTTTCAGTGCATGCCAGCCACTGCACGTGACCTCGCCTTTAGGCTTTAGATGTGCATAATGATAATGGTTAATCTCAGGGACACTTAGATACAATAATATATCCCAACACAAGATGGCCCCTGGCATAAAATTTATGAAATAAGATATATGGTTCTAATTACTGATCCCTTGTACAGGTATCAGGAGAAATGCGATGATTTAACTATCCGTAACCAGGAATACACAACAAAATTTGAGACACAATCTGGTGATAAGCAAGACATCATATCTTTTCTAAAGGTATGTATACTAATGTATACTTTATGTATTTTAGTGTATCATTCAGTTAGGCCACCTTTTTTTGTTTTGTTGGTTTACAGAATTTTTGTTGTTGTTGTTGTTGACTCGGTAGGGTAAAAAAAATAAATAAAAATTGTCGTTTTGTCAGATCAAACAAGTCAAAATACAGTGATACTGTTATACATGATATTAAAGTATTTTAAGAAAACTAAATGAAAACAAAACTCAACTTGTAATTATTTTTACTTTTATTATAATCTGTTTGTGCAAGTTTACATTTTTTTTATTCATATTTCTTAGAGAAAGGTCGACGGGAATAAAAAAATACAGATTTTCAATTTATATTTTTTTTCGTTTTTCTTGAAAATTCGGGATGGCGGATCTGTAAACCAACAAAATAAAAAATTCTCGCCTTACTGGTATAAAGTGCTGCAGTTACAATAGAACTCCATTTTCATTTACATTGCATATATACGTCCACCCAGGCACTTACCTATTTTGATCCACAGCGAACACTGGAGCAAAAACAGTGTGAAGTCCAGAACCTTTCTGACAAGCTAGACATTACACAAAAAGAACAACTGGAGGAAAGATCTGTCAGTGGAGACAAGATTGCACACTTACAAAAGGAATATGCAGACATGAAAGATGAGCTGTCAGCAGAGATCACCATTCTTAGTAAGCCAAGTTTGTCAGTCAGTAATTAAGTTGGCAGAATCTGCCCATTGCAGATTCTCGTCTATAATGTACACGCACATACAAAGCAAGTGTGAGAAAAGCATTTTTATGCGCATGGACATGTGATGGACAGTTTTCTGATGTTTTTCCCATAAAATGCATCTAACGTGTGCAGGTGGAAAGTTGGCATCGCTGGAGGAATTTCGCATTCAGAAAGAGGAATTGCTTGCCAAGTTTGCACAACTACAGCAGCAGCTAAAACAGCAGGAGTCTGATCATAACGAGACCCTCTATGGACTAGAGAAAAAAGCTGTCATCGACAATGATAAGTGAGCGTTTTGCTGCAGTGTATTGTCTTGTTAATTTAATTCCATTATTAGCTCATCTGACATAGTCAGATGCAGCTTGTAGAATCGCTTGATCGTCCGTCCGTGCGTCCGAGCGTCCGTGCGTCCGTCAACAGTTGGGCACAAATCTTAACCGCTCGACGTACGGTCACGATATTCGGCACATCGGGGGGGAACCCCAAAACGAGTTGGGATGTCGAAGCTGGGGGTCAAAGGTCAAAGGTCAAGAGGTGTAAAAGAAGGGGGAACATTCACTCCTTAACTTAAAGTATAGGGAGGAAATGCAGAATTGCGGCACAAATCTAAACGGCTCGACCTAGGCTCGTGATAGTCGGTGTATAGCATCATGGTAGGAAAAGCCATCACTGTGCCGAAATTGGAGGTCACAGGTCAAAGGTCAGTGGGCACAGGGCAGATTTGAGACATTTTCTGAGGACATGGTCTGACGGAGCGATTGAAAAACTTTTTTGTTTCAGCGGTGACCTAGCATTTTTATGGCTTTATTGAAAGGACCATGAAATGTCCCTTCTGCTGACATGCGAAGAGTAAGTGTCGGATAACCTTTTGACCCTCAAGAGGAGGGTTAAACTTGGATTTGTTGACTGTCTGTTAGAAAGAATTTGACTGCCGGGTTTGCTAGTAGAATCTATACATGCCTGGATGTATGAGGCTACAATGTCACAGTGAAATTTCAAAAGCTAAATTTGGTTAAAGAAGGTGTATGTTCCTTAAATTGTATAATTTCTATGTCATTCTGTACTGTCAGTATGTTACATGTAACGTATGCCACTGCCAGTGGCTGCTGCCAGTGCATGTGTTGGTGCAGTTTTTGCCTGCGTTAATTGGTTACAGGTGGCAGCTCTCTATTGCAATTTGCAGCTTGTAGGCTTGCGTAGGTAAATGGATGAGTGCTTACCTATTCTGTCTTGCAAATAGTTGTTGCTACTACGTACGATGAGAGCTTCCATCTTTAATCTGAAGACACTTAAACGTACGCGCCATCTCGTGGCAACTTTCATAACGATCCCAACGAACATTCCTTTGAGAAGGTTCCTGATACCATCCCTGTGCATTCCACTGTTTCGGCGTGTATGTGAACACATTTGGGACTAACAGGGTTTACTAGAATCCCACCACTCCACCACAGAGTCACCGCAGTAGACGTTAGATGAGCGCTGTCGCTCCGCGGCACTTGTTTATTAAATGCCAATTGGTTGCATGGCTGAATCGTATAAAACTACAATCATTAGACGCAGGGCTCGAATTAACCGACGGCACCGACGGCAATTGCCGTCGGTGCCCCTATCAATCGCCGTACTGCCCCTGAAAATCTAACCCGACCGACGGCGTCACGGCAGACACCTGCCTTGCCCTTTTGTGTAATTGCCGTCGGTGCCTTTTTTTCTACTGCCCTGGTTTCGTTTTTAGTTGAGTCAACATAACACGTGCGCGTGCGTGCGTGCTGTAGTTGCAATGATGAGCTTGAAACCGATAGTCGCAGGAGGGAATAATAACAGCATCGGATAATTATTCGCTCCTGATAGCGGGCATGTAAAATTTCTTGTTACTGTACTTCAATTAGCAGAGAGGGGTACAGGGGTCGGTGTTACGGTGTAAGCTTACATGGGTGCATATTGTTTTGTACATTAAAAGCAAGATGATGTTGATGTACTAATTTGTTATGAGTTTTCCTTTATTTTACAAAAGTGCCTTGGTGCCCTTCTTAAATTTTGAGAGTTACCTTGTTGCCTTTTAAAATTGCCTCTGCCCTTCCATTTTCAAGAAAATTCAAGGCGATTTCTCACATGCCCTAAGAGAATTGCCTTGCCCTTCTCGTCGCTTAATTCGAGCCCTGATTAGACGAAAATCAACTGTTGCTATGTAAGCCACCTTTTCTTTGTCACAGGTTGAAGAAAGTGATGGTGCAGGAGGTAAATAATGTGGCAAATGAGTTCAGGACAGTTTCAAACAAGCAGATGGCAGACACCATCAAGCGAGCCATCCAGGAAAATGTGACCATGAACTCCCAGTTAGGTAGGAAAACTCCTCTGATTCATGATGGTCACAAGGTGTCATGTTTATGGATTTTATGCATGTTAGGTTTGGCACGGTTTCTATGTAGATGAACAGGGTCCCTAAGATTATAGCATCCGGGGGGGGGGGCACTCCCATTGTTAAAGGTACTGGGGACAGGGTATATTTTCCGAACATCATTATCGGGACAGGGTATGTTTTCCAAACATCATTATTGGCACAGGGTTATCTAGATACCCAGCCATCAAGCTGATATTAGCCTAATATTGGCAAAACAATATTGGGCCAATATCACCAGGCCAATATTGGACCAATATAGGCAGATATTCGTCCAATATCGGCCCAATATTGGCAAAACAATATTGGGCCAATATCACCAGGCCAATATTGGACCAATATAGGCAGATATTGGTTCAATATAGGCATGCAGATATTGGTCCAATATCGGCCCATTGACAGGAGGACAGGACATAACCGAAGTGTGCAATATTGCAACAGGGTATACCTTTTAGTCCAGTACATTGGGACAGGGTGTATTTTAGGGCGCAAAGAGGTTTGCGACAGGGTCAGGTTTTCAAAGTCGCCGAGGCACCCCCTACCCTGTTCCGAGGCGAGTGCTCCCCCCCCCCGCGGGACTAGCATCTCTACTACATGCAGGAAAAATGTCGGACAAGACGATGGAGCTCATTCGAGACAATGAGGAGCTCCGAGCCAAAGACAAACATCAGAAACATCTTGTGGCCGTGCTGGAAACCAGTGAGAAGAAACTTGCCGAAAAGAATCACAGTCTTGCGAAGGTTAGTTTAGTGGTGGTTACGGAGAAAGCATAATGGATACACATTAACGTGATAACGTCACGAATTTCTAGCACCATCAAGTAGTATATTTGTGTGTTATTTGTACAAAATAAAATGTATGAAAATACAATTAGTGTTTCTGTTTACTTTTCATGCTTATATACCTTCTTTATATGCCCTAATTTTCCGGTGAAAAACAGAGAGACGCCAGTATCTGAACAGTACTGGGGGAATAGTGTTAGACAACAGAAATTACCAAATCGTCTAGATTTTTGCAAATTTAACTAACGTAAAAACATTTTTATCAGGTGAGAGTTTGAGGATATATTTAGTAACGTTAGTTCTTACTTTTAATGTAAAAAAATGGCAATTTTTTTAAAACAAATTTTACCATGGAAAATTCGTGACGTAGTCAATTTAAGTCATATGCAAGGGAAAATAGAGCAATGCTGCAATTATCAAGTTGCTACTCGGTAAAACGTGTTTGTAGGTTCGAGTTACTTTGGCACTTTTACACGTTCTGCTGCGTGTTTGTAATGAATAGTCAAATAGAAACGGTTTCCCCATGTGAAAACTTTGCAGATGTTAATTAATTGGAACTCCTGAGTATTATGTGGTAGTGATATTTCAGCCATCATCTGTAGTTTGCTACGCTCCACTCCAGCCACTCTGGCATTGACTCTGCAACTGTGGCATCTCTCGGCATGGCTAGTCTCACTGCTCCGGTTCACAGGTACTCAGCATGATGACAGAGAAAAGCAAGAAGCAGGAAGGCCTCATTGAAGAGCTGAGACAAAAGGAAAATGATCTGACAACTCTAACGACAGCCGCGGAGGAACTGAAGGAGACGCTCACCTCTACTAGGTATGATGCCGAGGAAGACACGATGGGAGGACGTGGCAGGGAGAGGAAGATGGCACCCAGCACATAGAATGTCCGTCTCTAACCTTTCTCTGCTCGTTAACTCTAGGTCAGAGCTCGAGCAGCTGACTACGCGGGAGAGGAACCTGCTGGAGGTGGTGCGAGAGCTAGAAGGAGGACGGGAGGAGGAGAGAAGATGCAGCTCTCGCTTGAAGGGAATCATGGAGGCGGCAGCGAGAGTCGTCACGGAGGCCGTCGAATGCCAAGTACGTTGTCAGCGCTCGTATAGCCACAGTGAGCTCAGCGAATCATGTGATGGCAGCACACTAGGGGGCTAACGTGTGACACGTATTACAGATTCATGCTACCGAATTTCATCACAGCACCTACATGAAGTGCCATGGTTGCCCCTCCCCCCACCGTCCTTGCTGTGGTGCTTCTAAAAATTGGACGATAACTATGATATTAATCTGTCATGACTAGGCCAATCTGCCAATCCTATTTAGTGTATCTATCACTGTGACCCACGTAAGGTATTGTTAGTGGCCTTGACAATCTTATTGGCTTTGAAGGATATGTTTGCCTTGATGCCAATCAAACTTGCCATTGGGCCATAAAATTTCTGTTAAAACTCAAGGCAACACTTGATTTACCCTGAAACCCTGAACAGAATTTGCCCCTGGAAGATTTTGTTAAATCATTACTAGAGAATTTGATTATTCACAATTGTTTGTCGGCCTATATTAAAGGGAACAAAACAAGAAGAATGTGAAAGTTTTGTGCAGAAAAAACAAGTGTTGCAGCAACTACTGACCATACTTAACAGTGCTGCCGCCTGGCAGATTAACCCTCAAACAGATGGCGAGGACCCCATACCAAGGTATGTTCACGGATTAAACAAACTGCACATATGTGCAGGAGACATGCAAGACCATAAAAACAAAAAAATTACTTTGATGTAAACGTCATGTTAAACTTCAACCGAAGGGATGAGGTACAGAGGTTTACTATAAAAACTCGCATTTCTTTAAAAATGACCTGAAAGAGAATAAATGCAAAGGTCGCCAGTTAACGCTCCATCAATCAGAAATTGTAAGGTGGTAGGGGTAGGGGTAGGTGGTAGGGTAAGGTAAGATTGGGCAGTGCCACCTGATGACCTACATCGCTACGTACTTTCCCGTTATTCGTGTAGGGGCGTGCTTTCTCGTGCGGAGCAGCGGCTGCCGAGTCGGGCTCACTACCAGCTGGGCAACCTCGGACTCGTGCCTCGCGAGGGTGAGACGCTGAGACGTCACACCCGCCCCGCCTCGTCCTGTCACAAGCCGCCGTACCGCGCCACGTCTCCAAGCGCGCGCGCAAATACGACGAGAGCGAGAAGTTCAGCGACGCCGCACACGCTCTCCGCATCAACGCAGACGGACAGCACGCCCGAGGTGAGCAACGCCATGGTGGCGCCATCTGTGGTTTGTATGCGAGACAACGCCGTGCTAGTGACATACACTGGCACCGGTTGGTACATCCGCTCAGAGTGCGTAACGGCGATGATCGTAGCTTCGCTGCAACCGCGACTACGCCACGCAGTGTGCGCATACATCAATAGCAGGAATCCCCTGTTGATCAGTTTGGTCACGTAACTGAATGACCCCCCCCCCCAACTCCCGCACACGCGACTCCGCGTTGCCTCTCTTCTTGCTCTGAGCTTTGTGCTAACGTGTTCTCTCACGCAGCAGGCTGTGACAAGCAACGACGACGTGTGCCGCTACAGCAACGTCACGCCCGCCTCCCCGACGCCGTCCCTCGAAGACGCCCTGCCGGAGGAAACGCCGCCGCCGTCGCCGCCTGTTCCACACGCGTGAACACACAGCGTCTACCTGCCGCGCGCCTGAAAAAGATTGTCGCGAACACAGGCACTTGGAGCGTTTCAATAAAATATCATGCAAAATAAATACGAAATCTATTTACTACCAAAGTCTTAATGTTTCTCTACTCTCCTTCACCTATTATTGCCGACAAGCTGTGCTGCAAATGCTCCAGCCACTGCAACACACGCCCACCGCACGCACGCTGCTGCACGCTACTGGCAGTACTGCACACTTACACATAAATATAGAGCACATAAATTATTTAGCATGATATTTTATTGAAACGCTCCAAATGCCTGTGGTCGCGAAGGTCGTGTGCCAGGAGGATATCGCGTCGGATATCGAACGTACGGTCGGCACCGATCGTGTGGCAGATGTGGACATTATCAAACGTAGACGTAGATGTAGTTGTATCACACAAACCCTGTATGGCAACGACTGCGAGCGAAGCAAGCGAGCGAGAGTTTCATTCTAGAAACGTAGTACGGAACGTGCTCACACGTGATCGCAATGTGTGCTATAAGGTGTAGTGTCATAATTAACAGGAAAAAATAATCAACATGCAAACGTTGTAAACTTGCATGGTTATATTACCATAAATTGATAGCAAGATAATCATCGATTTGGCTGTAAAATTGATATGAATAAAACGTGATCATACAAAAATTATAGAGAAATAAACACCCTTTTTAGCTTACTAGCTACCTTTAGATTGCATAATTCCGTCAGAATTAATTCAAATTCAAATTGATTGGCCAATCATTTAGGTGTATTCGATTCGAGGTCCTTGGCGACAAGCCCAGCTGTTGTAGAATGCATGAAACCTTTGTTCTTCTCAAAGGTTGCCACTGCCCTGGCTCGTGACTCCTCCCATGCAAACAGGTCCCTGCAAGTAACCGACTCGCATTTTAAAATGGATAAACCTCACAATAAACAAATAAACAAATAAACAAA